CACACACACACACACACACACACACACACACACACACACACACACACACACACACACACACACACACATATATATATATATATATATATATATATATATATATATATATATATATATATATATATATATATATATGTGTGTGTGTGTGTGTGTGTGTGTGTGTGTGTGTGTGTGTGTGTGTGTGTGTGTGTGTGTGTGTATATATGTTTGTATGTCAGGAGAGAACATACAAAGGTTGTTCGTAGGTAGGCACGTAAAGCGAGTTGACGTGAAAACCACTTCTGAATGATTTTAATTTGTTTGCACACTGCAGTCAGTCAAGAAAAATACGTAATTACGTAGTCTGTTTAAAAAAACAATAATTTTGAACGTAGCATAAAAATAAAAACAGCATGAATAACGAATTTTTAAATTATTTCGTGTGGTGTGGTGTTAGAGTGCGTTGAATGAATCACACGTTCTATATGGTAAAATCCTTTTAATTTGAAATTTTATTTTGGAATACGTGCTGAGAAATAATAATAACATATAATGAACTGCGCATTAACGATGATCGTCTGGTACAAGTTAACAGTCATCTATCGGCTGGCGATTTAATTTGAAACTGACTTAATTTCTTAGAAAGGTGATGACTTTTGTTTAGCTGGATTTTGAATAAAATTTTAAATTTCAGTGTCATTTACATTTTCCCAATTCCAAATAGATAGGAAATGATTTAAAACATAAAATTTTGAATTTACCGAAATTAATTCAAAATCTATCAGAAGGGACATTGAAATTATACGAAAAATTTTTTCAGCACGCATATACCAGCAATAATTAATAGTAAAAATTATTTAAATTTGTCGTTCTTAATAATGCAGTTCTGGCAAAGACACAACTGTTTACAAAATGTTTTTGCTTATTATTTTCGATCGAACATTTGTGCAGCTAGGTATGTAACGTCCCCGCCAAGCCACCTAGCGTTAGTATATCTGACCCGCATGCCCCACGACGTTCATGATAAGTCGATTCGATGATGAGTAACGGACAGACAGACCAGCCCGCGACAACAGAGTGGGAAATGACACACCCCGTCTGAGCTAACTTGCTGATCAAACAAATCTAACGAAGTTTAACAGTAACTTTATTAAATAAACATTTATAAAATATGGGAAAAATTAATCCAAACACACGTACAAGGAACAGACTATATTCTAAAAATTTTACCGAAATATTTAACAGTAACTAATGTATAAATTATCTTTTCATGTTTTTTAGATTAAAAAATACATCGATTAAAATTTAACAGTTATTTAATACACGTGTGATTTTTTAATTTTAATTTAACTTAAGAGTTCAGTAGTGATATTGCAATGAGGAAAGAGACTCGATCCCGCCATGCAGTGACCGCATTTGAACGCAAAAGAAGTCTTCGTATGCAGTGGCCAATTTCACACACATTCACGCATGATGAACGTTCATGATAACATGACCTTCAAACATTTTCACCTTCTGAATTTATTAAACTTAAATGTTGAGAATACAACAGCATGTAACGTTACAACAGTTTGCTCACGTACGTAAGATTTGTTGCTGGTGATTTAAAGGGAAATTTTAACAAATGTTTTATGCATACATACATACATATATACATACATACATACATACACATATACATATATACATACATACACACACACATATATACATACATACATACATACATACATACATACATACATACATACATACATACATACATACATACATACATAGATACATACATACATACATACATGCGTCGTGGCTGATTTTTGCACCATCTGCTTTTTTGTCTTCAGACGCGGCCACGGCGACCCTTCAAGCTAAAATGCTGCCTGACAATAGGGTATTGGAAAACCACCTGAGGGTTAAAATGTTTAATTATTGGTGTTCCATATATGGCTACATAATTGACGCCTGATCCATTCTTGGATAGTTCAAATGTTCGAACGGTAAAGCAGAATGTTTCGCCTCAAGGTGAAAGGTTGAAAAAAAAGTTCAGAGGATTCAACAATACGCCACAAACATCGTATATGAATACATGCTAAACGACGCATTACAAACGAAGTATGCGATATGCGGGAGTCTTTTTGTCATATTTTGTCATATTCAAACCCGGTTACTGCGAAACAGTTTCAGGTGACCTTAACCACTAGCCCATCAAGATAAAGCCAGATTGATGGCTGTAAAGAGCGAAATCGAAATTCCTAGCACCGCGTGTAGTACTAGACTGAAAAATGCATCCATCAGAGTAAGTCTTTGTCGTAGACTTAAATTGCCGGTGATTTCTGGATACAGGGTTTTATGGGGTACCGACGCTTTTCCATTGGGCCATCATAGTCTGTCGTGCAGATTGGGTTCTGGCAGACAGACACGACATACGGCTATGAATGATTACCTATGTAGAATTTTTCAGATAGCTAACATACCCACCGTAAAAGAACCTGCAGGCCTAGTTTCTAAAAGTAATTACAGACCAGATGGTTACACTCTAAGTCTCGTGGTTGTTGTTTGACGTAGGATGTGACGTTCCCCATGCGCAAGCCAAAAGGTATATAACCTACGCATTTGTTGAATCTGGTTCGGCTGCATTTAAAGCTGCAGATTTTAGAAATAATGAATATAAAGATTTAAATGACAATACAAAACGTTTTTTGCCAACATGTATTAAAACGTTTGAATCCATTGATAAAGAAAAATAATTTTTTATTGATAATATAAGCTCAAAAATAGTTGAAATATCTTGCGATCCAAATGATGAGATTTATATACAATAAAATGTTTCTCTATTGTTACAAATATATAATGCTTTCAGCATTTTAAAAAATATAGCCAAATACCCTTCTATACGAGACCCATAAACTAGCATTAACAAGCGAGTTGGGACAAAATGATGGTTTTTATAACTGTTGTTTTTTAAACGTGGGCTCATACATACATGCATATAATGTTCATTTTTTCATACATACATACATACATACATACATACATACATACATACATACATACATACATACATACATACATACATACATACATACATACATACATACATACATACATACATGCATGCATACAATTTTGCAGCCGCAACAGGTGGGTGTCGGCGTCAGTGGTGGGGCAGAGGGAGCGGTACATGCAGTGAGACGATTTTTGGATGGCATGTGTGATGGCCAGTGTTTGCTCAAATTGGATTTCTCGAGCGTTTTTAATACTCTAAGACGCGACCATATGTTGAACTGCACCAAATCCATTCTGCTGGAGATTTTCAATTTTTGTTATGCAGTGAGACGATTTTTGGATGGCATGCGTGATGGCCAGTGTTTGGTCAAATTGGATTTCTCCAGCGCTTTTAATACTCTAAGACACGACCATATGTTGAACTGCACCAAATCCATTCTGCCGAAGATTTTCAATTTTTGTTATTCGGCTTATGACTTGTCTTCTTTCCTGTCCTTCGGCAACACTAGGATCCTGTCAGCTAAGGGTGTTCAGCAGGGAGATCCTCTGGGTTCCTTCTTTTTGCACTCTCTGTTGACCCACTAATTAAAACGCTAAAATCCAAATTCATTGTTGCTTACCTAGACGACATTTCATTGGGAGGTGATGTCGAGTCCGTTTTGAACGACCTTAATACTATTATAAATTCATAAATTAACATAGGCTTAAAACTTAATTTTGAAAAATGCGAGTTGTATATGAACAAACCTATTACACTTAACCTTAAATATCCAATTAAAATTCTTGAAAAAAACAAGATTGATTTTCTACTAGGCTTAATAATTTTTCCTGGTGAAAGCCAAAACATATCCATAGCTAAAAAATTTGAAAACTAAACTTATCACCCAAAGGCTAAATATCATCAATAGACGTGATGCAATAGTCCTTTTATTACAAGCTGCATTTTTGCCTCGTCTTGTTTATTTTTTGAGAACATCCCCTCTGTTGGATGTTTCGATCTTCAATAGTTTTGACGATCATCTCCGTGACGCATTCCAGTCCATCTTCAACATAACACTCGATCAAAAAAATTGGTTGCAGGGGACGCTGCCTATATGTGTTGGTGGTCTGGGTTTGGGTTCCGCGGCTGAGCTACACCTTCTGCCTTTTTGGCTTCTGCTGCTGCCACGGTGGCCCTCCAAGATCCGATGTTGCCGAGGGATGGGATTTATGTCGATAACTTCAGAATGCAAGTATACGACATGTGGCGCGCTACCAACGGAGATGTGGTTGCGTTCGATCGCCACTGGATCGCCCCCTGTCTTAATAGATCAGTTGATCGATGGCTGCAACTGAATAGCTCTACTTTTGACAAGGCTAGAATCATGGCTGTCAAAAGCGAGTTGGGCTCCACCTGGTTGAGAGCGCTACCCAACACCTCCTGCGGCACTAGATTGGATGACTCTTGTGTTCGCGTGAGCCTGGATTTGAGACTCGAAGCCCAGATCGTCACCGAATACGAATGTGCATGTGGGGCAAGGGTTGATGAATTTGGATACCATAGCCTTACTAAACCATCTTAGGGGTGTTCCACGGATTCCATAATAATTTAACTTTTCCATCAAAATGCTGTGGTCGATGCAGTCAAAGGCTTTTGACAGATCGATGCAAGTTCCAACGACAAAGTTTTTATTTTCTGCAGCTACTCCCAATTTTACGGATCAACTCCACGATTGCCAACTCTGTTGAGTGTTTATCACGGAAGCCAAATTGAGAGTCTGAAATTATGTTATACTTTTGAAGAAAATTGACAATTCTTTTGTACATCAATTTTTCCATAATTTTTGAAAAGGCCGGTAGTAACGCTACAGGTCGATAGTTGGTTATATCGGTATTACCTGTCTGCTTTGCTATTGGAATTACTTTTGCCACTTTGAAACATTGAGGAAATATGCCTGTCGCAAATGAAAAATTTACCAGATAGCTCAAAATTTGAGCTGTTGAGTTGATTGTGGAAATAACAATTTTTGAAGGAATGTCATCAACACCACTTGAATATTTTGGTCGTAAACTTTTTGCCGTCTCGACAACTTCTTCAAATGAGGTATCAAGACAAAAAAAGGAATTTGAAAGTTTATGGTGCATTATTTGCTTCCATTCAGAATTTTTCGTAAAATCTTTCATCAAATTTGGAGCTAGGCTTATGAAGTGTTTGTTAAGTGCATCTTCAGGATTGACTAAAACCTGTTCATCTGAGGTTAGTAACTTTTCATTTTTATCATCTTTACTTTTATTTATTATTTTTAAAATATTCGACCACGTTTTTTAGCTGTTATTTTTTGTTCGTTGAAACATACATACATACATACATACATACATACATACATACATACATACATACATACATACATACATACATACATACATACATACATACATACATACATACATACATACATACATACATACATACATACATACATACATACATACATACATACATACATACATACATACATACATACATACATACATACATACATACATACATACATACATACATACATACATACATACATACATACATACATACATACATACATACATACATACATACATACATACATACATACATACATACATACATACATACATACATACATACATACATACATACATACATACATACATACATACATACATACATACATACATACATACATACATACATACATACATACATACATACATACATACATACATACATACATACATACATACATACATACATACATACATACATACATACATACATACATACATACATACATACATACATACATACATACATACATACATACATACATACATACATACATACATACATACATACATACATACATACATACATACATACATACATACATACATACATACAATACCTCAATTTTATAATCACATTTTCGGTCATATCTCCCTTACTTTCATAGCCAAAATTTCCTACTTTGTTTCCATTTCACATATGTTTCCAACATTTCATCATTTCATTGCCACATTTTGGCTGTATTCTTCAGTCTTTCTGGTTTGTTTCGACACCTGGTTTTAAGCCCCTCATCTTCGTTGCGGCCCCTTGCTCAGCCTGCTATTATAATCCGCCCTTACAATACCCCACATGTCTCTGAGCCAAAATTCAAAAGACAATTGCTCACTCGATGTCTTATCTGTTATAAACATTTCTGTTCACGCCCTGACGGAACCCTTGTAATACATGGAGGCAAAACCAAATGCTCGGAATTAGCCGGCTCTCTTATGAAACCTCTTGCTGCGAATAAAAGGAAATTATTGGGTAATCATTTGGTAAATGTGTTGGCCAAGATTGCTGTCTCGCCATCGGGACCCAAAGTCAATTTAGCGGATAATTTTTTCAGGAAATCTGCTAACTTTAAGCTATACGACCACATCCCAAAACATACTAGATTAAAATTTGGTCAGTTGTTATGTAAACAGCTCAAAGAAATTTGGGAAAAACCAAATCTACAAATAGTTTGGTTTAGGCTGTTATTTCTGCCAGTCATAATTTTGAGGAAAAGCCTACGTGGCGGCAAACGCCATAGTCCGGTGACGATTGTTAACCAAAAAATTGATGAGTTCTTCAACTGCCCGGTAGAAAAAATGGCGGAATATTTGGAGCCAATTATTAATATTGGGAAAGTAAAATCGTCCAAGTCAAAGTTAATTTCCTCAGTAAAATCTAAAATTGAAAAAGGCAAAGTGAGGAAGCTATGCAGTTATTTTCTTCAACCGACTCGATGGCTCCTGCTTCCGAAGATACTGTAAACTCCCTAATTGAGAAACACCCAAAGACACCGATTGACAGAGCTTCAAGTCCTCCTAAAAAAAGACTCGGGTGTTTCGGTTACATCTTAACAAATTTTTGCATGCTTGAGATGCTTGAGGTCGTTTCTAAAAGGCACTTCGGGTGGCAGAGACGGCCTAACCCCCAAACATTTGAAAGATGTGATTTTTTCAAAAAACGATTTATGATTCTCTGGATCTCATCAATGGCATTACCGCCTTCATTAATTTGCCTTTAAATGGCGACTGCCCTGCCGAGGTTGCACCTTACCTTTTCGGGGGAAGACTATTAGCGCTTTTTAAAAAGGATGGCGGTATATGACCAATTGCTGTCGGCTGCCTATGGAGACGTCTCGCTGTAAAATTTGCACTGGCAAAAATCAAAGACAAGGTTTTGCCAATTTTTCAACCACAGCAGGTTGGGGTGGGAGTAAATGGCCAGCTGAAGGGGCAGTTCATTTTGTACAAAGGTTTACGGACCATATGAGAGATGGCAAATGTTTGTTGAATTTAGATTTTTAAAACGCCTTCAATTCACTCAGACGTGATCATATATTGAAGTGCGTAAAGTCATCTCTTCCTGAAATCTATAAATTCTGCCGGTCGGCCTATGACTCTACTTCTGTGTTAAATTTTTCCGGTTTTGACATTCAATCAGCCGAGGGAATTTAGCAGGATGACCCCTTAGGCCTACTGTTGTTTTTTATGTAAATTGACAGTTTGGTTAAGTCTTTAAAATCAGGGTTGGTGATTGCATATCTAGATGACATTTCGTTGGGGGGAAACATTAATTCGGTCCTGGATGATATGAACCATATATCAGATAAAGGAGCCAGTATCGGACTCAAATTAAACTATAGTAAGAGTGAAATATTTACTAACTCATCTACAAAAATTAATACAGCACATAAAATCAAAAAACTTTTATAAAACGATATAGAATTTTTAGGGTCAGTTATTTTTCAGGGTGAAACTCAAAACAACTTTTGGTCGACAAAATTAAAAAAATTCAAATTTGTTTTAGAATGGCTAGCCATTATTTCAAAGCACGATGCATTGACGCTTTTGTTGCAGACGGCTTACCTACCCCGGATGTCGTATTTTTTGATAACGTGTCCAGGCCCGGAGGTCTCAATTCTAGAAAACTTCGATAAAACGTACGTGATGGTTTTGAAAATATTTTCAACATTTTCCTAGATGATAAGGGTTGGCTGCAGGCAATTTTGCCCCTGTCCACAGGCGGTCTAGGCCTAGGATCCGTGGCTGAGCTGGCACTTTCTGTTTTTTTGGCCTCAGCCGCTGCCACGGTATATCCATTCAAGATATGCTGCTGCCAACCGATAAAGTGTATGTTGATAACGTTAGAACAAAGGTATACATAGGGTGGAAAGCTGCTTTTGGAAGAGACGTTGACATAAATATTGTGCTGCAAAAAGAATGGCACGTATCATCAGTGAATAGCTTAATTGATCGACTATCCTTGCTCTCCAACTCAATGCATGATAAAGTTAGGATCATGGCAGTTCGGAGTGAGTTGGTCGCAGCACAGCCTGTGGTACCAGAATGGATGATGCCGCTGTTCGTGAGAGTTTTGAATTGAGATTGAGGCTGTCCCTGGTCACGGAGTATGATAGAGAGTGTGGTGCAAGGGTGGAATCACTGGGTTACCATAGAATATTTTTTTAGGTTGGAATCAGGAAGGCAAGCCCGACACTTTGCAATGAATGATATTTTAGTCAAAGTTTTTCAAAAAGCTGCTATTCCGGTAATAAAGGAGCCAGCAGGACTGCTTGAAAATAGTAACTACACACCTGACGGATACACAGTGGTTTCTTGGGCCCAAGGACGCTCCTTGGCGTGGGACGTAACTTTTCCCTACACAATGGCCGAAAGATATTGGTTTCACGTCAACAGAGGCTGGGACCGACGCGATAAAAGCGTCTGACAAAAAAACAATAAAATATGCCACTTTAAATGATAGCACCAAAATGTTTACACCAGTATGCATTGAAACATTTGGCCCAACTGATGGGCAAACCCATACATTCATCAATCAGTTAATAGCAAAAGTTGTCAAGATTTACGTCTATCCGGAGAATAAACGTTACATAAAACAATACATTTCAATATTATTACAAAGATTTAATGCATTTTGTATTATGGAGGGAGCAACAACGTACCTTTCTGTGCAGGAACCCCGAACATAAATAAACACTGGAACCTGAAATTGATTTTAGCTCCCTCATAACTTTTATCAACAAGGGAACCATACATACATACATATCTATACATGTATGCACAGTACGTACATACATACATGTATTTATGATTTGTCATGAAGATTTATGGAACTCTATATGTATGCGCATGTGCAGGCACATTAAATTTTTTGTTAATTATACTTTTGATAGCGACTCTAAGAGTTTTTATTTTGGTGCTATATAAATGATTCTTAATAATACATACATACGTACGTATGTTTTAAAATACATACATACATGCCTAGAATACACATATTGTACACATATATACGTACAGGGATACATAAACGCAATTTGTACATCTATATATTTTACAATATTTTATTGTCTGATAAATTCATAAATTTTTTAATGAAACAACAAAAAAGTAATAAAATGATAATAAATAATCAATAAAAGTAATGATTAATAAAATAATTACGATAGAAAATCCAAATTTTTTCATGTATCTGCACTGCAATTGAATTGTTGTGCTTTGAAACTGTCGTCGAACACACAAACACACACACCACAAACACACACACACCACACACACACACACACCAAAACAAATAAAATAATAACCCAAACCAAACCCAGCACTTCAATGTCGGGACGGTATGCCTCAACTATAACACCATCACCATCTCGCCACTATAATTTACAATCACTTATCATAATTAATTATCTATTGTTGTACAAATGTATAACTCAATTTTTACAAATGTAGATTTTCTGATCCGAATAATAAAATTGAGAATTAAAATAAATTGTTTCGTTAGTTATTATTAATCCTGCAAGTTAATAATGTTTGACTCAAGTGCTTTCATTATAGGCAATGAATGACGATATATTGATATTGTTGATGTTAATGGTTGCAAGTTCTTTCAGTGGGACGGTTATTTATGAAAGTATCTGAAAATTTTCTCTTTTTTTTGATGTCAGTGAGTTAGTGAGCGGCAAGGTAGTGAAATGGTTAAAAGACACACACATACACACACACACACACACACACACACACACACACACACACACACACACACATACACACACACACACACATTGCAGATTTCACCGCAAAACATTCAAGGCGTTTTCAACCTTACACCGTCAGGCCGCGAACGTGGTACACACAATTTGATTTCGACAGATTTTTATAAAAATAATTTAAAAGATTTTTTTTATTTCATGATTTTGTTTAACCGAAAATTGTGAAAGATTTTTTGCATTATAAAATAAATAGAAGCCTTGTCAATTATAAATAAACTAAGCAATTAAATAGATATCTCGATGGAACATTCAAGTGCATTAATGCAATTCATTAAATTATGAATTAAAAAACACAGCACGCACCAGGAAGCGGTTGAGATTGAATTGAAAAGAATAACTCTTGTCGTTACTACAAACACGTATAACCTCAGTTACAAAATTATATTTAACTCATTTCTTAACTGCCATGTTATCATCTTCGTGAATGTTTACAATATTGCTGAATTTGTATCAAATAATGCTCCTAGAATGGTAATTTAATATTGCATCTGTTTGTTCGGATGGTGTTAATGGTGCTGGCAATAGTATCAGTTGTGGTAGCGGTAGAAGTGGCAGTAAAAGTGGCAGTAGAAGTAGTAGTAGAAGTGGCAGTAGAAGTGGTAGTAGAAGTAGCAGTAAAAACTTCCGTTGTAGTAATGGTAGGAGTAAAAGTAATATTAGTACAACTACTAGTAGTAGAGAAAATTATTTTATCAACACACTAATTGATATTAACAGCACCATAGCAGCAATTTTTTAATTGAACGCGGGCCGCCTCTTCAAGCAAATTATTTTCTGCGTCAACGTAATTAAGTTGGGCTGCAACGGGGCGATTATCATAATCATTTTTCTGAGTATTATTATTATTGTTGTTCTTTTTGTTGTTGTTATTGTTGTTATTGTTGTTGTTGTTATTGTTGTTGTTGTTATTATTATCATTACCATAATTGTTGCTGTTATGAATTAAACACGAGATAACACTGGTTGCGTTGTCGTAATGGTCGTCGCCAGCTTCGTCGTGCCTGGTGACCTCTTCATCGGAGTGGCTTCTGAAGTTGCTACTCTCGCCCATCGTATTCAAGTCATTGTTGTTGTTGATGATGTTGTTGTTGATGTTGTCGTTGTTGATGTTGTTAATGTTGTCGTTGTTGATGTTGTTGTTAACATTGTTGCTAGTTTCATCGTTGGCGGTAGTGTTGGTCTTTTTGAATTTAATATTAATGATATCCACAACCTCATAGGCATGTTCTCTCACATCACGTTTCTTATTAACTTTGTCCAAAATTTCCTCATCAATTATATTGTCTTTTGTGTTTTTCCTGTCTTCCAGACCAGCGACGTTGGTGGGCGTTGCGATCTCAGCCAAAGCAGCATTTGCACCCACGCTTCTGTCAGCATTACCAATTGTATCTTTAATGGTAACTTTCGAGTTATTTGAATCGCAGTGAATTTTTCTTTGGGGTACGATTGGTTGGTCGGTTTTCTGGATGCTGATGTCTTTGTTTTTGTCGCTGGATGTTGCCAACCACTGTTCATCGATTGTTGAGTATATATTTTCAACGTTGTCTGTGTTGGGTTCTGGTTGTCTGGTCTCTTCGTTGTTGTTGATGTCGTTTTTTGTTTTGTTAGTTGTCTCAATGTGAGTTTCATTGTTAGTGTCGTTGTTGTTGTTAATGTTTTCATTTGAAACATTGCGGTTGTTACTGTCATTTTTGTTGTTATCAGTACTGCAGTTGTTGTTGGTAGATGGTGGAGGATGTTTTATTACTTGCGAATAGAGTTGTAATACATTAAGATTTTCATAATTGCATCCATTCTGAAAAACTTTGTTGTGGCATATGTTGCTGTTGATGATGTTGATGTCATTGCTTGCACTACGGTTGATGATGTTGATGTTATGATTTGTTATATTGTCTGTTGTGTTAAAGTTATCGTTAATGTTATCAATGTTGTTTATATTTTTGTTTGAATTTCTATCCGCGGTTGAATGAATGATGTCGTCGGTTGGGCTGCTACGTCCTTCATTGATGATTTGGTTAGTGTTAGGGCAGAAATCATTATTATTGTGACTGATGTTAGTGAGGTTGGTTTCCTTCTCTATGAAGTAAGTTATGACTTTAGTTATGTTTGCCTTGTCCTTATTGTGGTTGTCCGTGGAAATGCAGCATGGATCATGACCATCAGCGGAGTTGGGGAGTTCTCTGTTGTACGTGTGCATATTTTGATCGTCAAGTAAAATGTTTGAATAATGCGTGCTACTGACATCTTGAATGATTTTGCTGTTAAAACATGTTTCAACGTTGTCATCATTGTAGCCATCGAGAGGTTTATTGTCTAACCGGCTGTGGAAGATTTCAAACGAAGCTGCACTGGGACTGTAGAGGTTGACGTCGCTATTGTCATAACTCTTCTTTTTCTTCTCGTGGTTGCTGACGAGTTCGTTGTTGACGTCATCGATGGACGAATAAATATCACTATCGTCCAGTTGCCAGTTTCTCTCCAATGTATGAAGTCCTGCAGTGAATGCAGCGTCGTTCCCGTCGTTCAGATCCTCGATCCTGTCGTAGTTGTGGTTGTCTTTCCTTTCGGCAGTCGTCGCCATTTTGTAAACTAACAAAATTTGTTTGTTCTTCTTATTAGTTTTAAACAAATAACAGATTGTTTAGCATAATAAATAGTTTCATCAGTGGCGCAGCCTGAAATATTCATGGAGTTGAATTTAAAATTAAGAAAAAATTGACCGCCTCAATTTAAGGCTTATTCTACATGTTTTTATTAATTATTTAAATCAGTACTTTAAAAACAAATCCAATTCAACTGTTGTGAAAGGAGCTGCAACAGTTTTACGACAATTATTTTAATGATTTTGTGAAATTCAACACCCTCAATCTAAGCAAGAATGCCCCTTGTGGGTGGCTACCCCGGCTACGCCTCTGAATTTTACTTACCAATGGTATCCAAGTGATTCACATCTGACTCCTTTTGAAATAATTTATTAATAGTGTTTTTATAATTTTTATTGCATTTTTACAACTATGTTAACTAATAAGTTGAGATTCACGTGCAATGCATTTTTTGGAAGCCGTTTGCAGAAGCTTTTATGCACAATCTTATGCAATTAGTAGAAATTAAATGAATTTTATACAAATTTCGAAAAGATGGCTACTCTTTTCATAATAGAATTATGATGAATGACACATTCTAAAAACATTAACATGATTTTATAATTTTTAAATTTTTTCAGACGGGGATTCATTATTAGGTTGGGATTGTTGGTAAATTAATTACCATGTATGTCTTTTGTTTTCATCATTAAAGGACACGAGCAAATTTTTATGTTTAATCTATTCCGCCCCAACAATAAAACAATTAAACTAATCATTAGACATGAACATACATCGTCAACATTGGAAATCCGGTTGTCATTACTGCAGTGGTTGTTGATGTTATTGATGTTTGCAGCATTTTCGTTCTTTTCATGACTGTCCATCTTACAGATCTTGTATTTTTTCCTACCAACAAAACTCGCAAATTTTGTTGGAGTTTGTTGATCGTCATTGTGTGACGAGTGGCAGAGCGTGTTGTCAACGATGATCCTATTCCTGATGACTTCAGTTGGTGGGCTGTCTTGGACTGCTGCTTGTGTGGCGTTTGTGTTATCAGCTTCTTCCTCACCATTTTCAACATCTTCTGTTATATTTTTACTGAAATTTTGTCCAATAAATTAGCACATATCAAAAAAATTACCACAAATTTTGATGCGCTATCCTGCCCCTCACCACAGCATAGGTACCTTATAAACATTCAATAAGGCCAAACTTAAGGTTTAGTATTTCTATATAAACATTTATGACAAAAATTATAGCACTATTATTTTTCAGCATCAATATAGCTTTCAAATGAAATCTCATAAACGCCATGCCTCATTTCATCTCTAATTAACATCATTGTTCAAATACATATCGCTGCAGGTGAAGTCCTCAATGTGTGATCTGATTATTTTGCATTCAAATATTTAATGAACTCACGACTACAAACTGATTTCTCCAATAGAAGTAATCAAATATGTAACTGATGTAAAAAAAATGTTACGAGCCCAGCTTAGGTTCATATGCTCCTCGCATCTTCGTACATTTAAACATATAAGAAAGTAATTTTTAGCAGTGCTGACGAGTACTTAAGCACGTAAGTACTTGAGTACTTAACTATATTTTATGAGTACTCTATGTCAAGACTGCCTTCCAGAGTGTTGGAATGTGAGAATGATATCCAATATTGTTTGTTTATTTGTTTAAGTTTGAAATATTTGTTCCAACTAATTTGATGTACTCACATGTACTCACATTCAATTGAAGAACTGCAACCTTCTAAACACCTTTTAATGACCCATCAATCCTTTACGAAGTCAAACATATTTAATCTTGTCTAATATTTTGCTAGTTTTAAAAGTTTAGAATATAACCATCATAACAAACTTTAACAAGTAGTTTATATAGCACTCTTCATGAACAGTTTTCAAATCGCAACAACTTCTTCCCAGCACCAAACCCTTTCTAATCAATTTTTAAGTGGACAAATGGTTTTCCTCAAATAAAAAACTTTGAAAGTACAATTATTTGATGGTTAACAGTTAATTTTTTTTAAAGCAGTCTCATCAAATGATTGCCCAACTTATTACGCAAGTTAAAAATGAGAGCCGGCCTAACTCTGATGCACCTTTCGTTTTGCAGCAGCAGATTGAAATAAAACTGCAAACAGTTGAAATGAAGTAATTTTATGCACAGTTATTGTGATGTTGGTGCATCGGAGAATTAGTTGATAGATACATTTTTAATTTGTTTTGTTCATTTCCTAAATTACATTACGAACCATTTCTTGCTGTGCAGACAAGCGACGAGGAAAAGGACGAAGACAACCAGACAGCAGGCGAGAAAAATGAGAGACAGAATGAGGTGGGACATCGCTGTAATGTAAAATGGTGCCGATTTGTGGACATTCGGTTACCTGTGCATGTGAGAATTACATTTGTCATCATCGTTATAAAATTATTTATCGTTAACAAAACTTCACTAACGGCATGGACTGGTAAAAACTCAACCCTCCATTTAACCAACTAACTCATGTTATCGACAAAAATATTTTATTTCAATTAATTTTTTACAAAGTTTTAAAAAAATAATACTTTCTTTAAATTATTGTCACTCTTTTATGTATTAAATGCATAGATAACTTTTATTCAGTTATAAATTATATAAATATATATATATATATATCAGACTGAGATTATCTGATATATATATATATATATATATTTATGTATTTATATATATATATATATATATATATATATAATTGACATTAGTTAAGAGCATCCTGTTAGCTGACTAATTATAAAAAATATTACTGTTTAGTAAAATGATGCGCCTTTTTTGTTTTTTTTTATATTTTCGAAATTTTTAAATTTTTCGTTATAACTAAATTTGATCGATCGATCGATTGATTATAAAAAATGTAAAAAAATGTTTCTGGTCTGGTGTCTTTGAAACACCTGTTAATAGCATTTGAAAGCACACACATTCAATCAGAACAGCCAACAAACTGACTGCTACAACATGTTGTATTTGAATGTTGGAAGTCACCAGCCATCACACAGCAGGTGGCACTTTCCACAAGAGATTACAGCAGGTTAAATGAAAGATCGGGACAGAATAATAAATATTTTTAGCTCTTATTAGAATTAGTTTTTTTTATAGAAACATTTTGTAAAAACTTATATATATATATAATCCAAAATCCGATGTGCAGAGTTTAACACAACGGGGGCACCGAGGACAAGTTGGCTTCAGTTCTCTTGATGTTGCTGATGGTAGATAAGTCGACGCCTGTATGAAGAAACAATCCTCTTCCATTTAGAACGTTTAGCCGGCTTGATTTTGTGTGCAGTACCATTACCGCAATTGATCGTTACAAATAAATTTGACGTATGTACCAACTGCCGATCCTGTTACCTGGATAAAAACTTTGCCCTTACCCTGACATCTACCGATTCACCAAAATTTAAACATCTTCTATTGACTAGTTTGAAATGAAAATAAATAATTATTATACACCAAGAAACCATCTAACATTTACCATTTTAAATAATCAAAGTTAAAAATTTGTTAGTTATTTGTTTTATGATCTGATGCACGCGGACTAACCATCCACTATCTAATTTCTAATCCAAACATTTACGATATTTTGATTTCTTTATTAATTGTGTCTTGTAGTAAGCAATTCAATGCATTTAGAACAAAACCTTTTCAAATCTGAACTTTTTGTTTAAATAAATCTTAAAACACAATTACTATTCATTCTATTAATAAATACATGATAATCAAACTCTTGATGTTTCCCTGTTTTTCGTAGTCTTCGTTTTTTTATTCTATAATGTTAAAAGAAAAATTTATTTTTGTCTACTTAAAATAAAAAAGATTTATGTTTTTTAATGGTTCTATAATTTTTAAAAAATTTTATTAGCTGTAGGCTAATCGTAACTCGTTCTGCTACGGTCTCCTGAATTCTACATTGTAACTTGTAAGTATATGAATAAAGACTCCCCTCCATCCATATCTTGTACTTTTACATAGACTACCTACAAAATATAAAATAACTTGTACATGATTATGCAAATAATAATTTAACTTAAGCTAAATAATCATAAAATGTTTCAACTGGACCCACATACGTATAGGTTCCTGTCTACAATCGTCAACTCGTCTTCACTTTTTCATTTTATGTTTACCATTCTTAGACTAAATCTGCTTTTGCTAGTTTTAGTCATTTTTTCGAGAACTCCCCTTTTTTCTTCTACTCCATCACTTACGAAGTTCGGGGCAGACCTAGACCTCAAGGCTCATGTGTTCACAAAATTTGTCAAGAAACACTGTTGAATATCACGCAAATGCGCTATACGAATGAAAAAATCGGTAGATTGCAGAAGCACAACAGAAATTTCACTGAAGAATTTACGTAAAAGGCAGAGTTGTTAAATAGAATGCCAGGCGGCACTTGGAGGCTTACAAACAACAAGTGGACACAACAGTAAATGAAATATAAAATAAATTTGCACAGCAGAAGCTTTTGAGCGCGTTCTCGGTGAAATTACTAAGCATATCGTTATCGTTACCTATACAATCTCGAGGTGCAATTTAAAATAACTAAACGTGTGATAGTATAGTGGTTAAAGCAGCGGGTCGCGCGGTTGTACGTTGCAATGACTGTGTTCGAATGCAAAAATATTCTTGGTCACAGGCATGATTGATGAGTGATGCGGAATTATTATTATTTTAATTTTATAATTGTTTGTTGACATAAATTTATTTTTTTATATTTCATCACAGGTCACATTTTTTTTTCATTGTGCAAAATAAGATTATTATTTGATATGTCAAAACAACGAAGTTTCTGATTTTCGTTTAACTCGTGCGACATCTATTCATTAAGTTATTTTACTTTAACAGTTTTTTAATAAAAAAAACTTCTTTTATGTGGTTAAACAAACAACAATTTCTCGGATAGTTTTGTTGGGTTTGCTTCAATAGATGCCTCCAGTTCATCATCATCAACCTTGCATAGTCGCCCGTGACCCTCTTCCTCCTCGAAGCTCATACTACCAGCACGAAATTGTTTGAAACCATTTTGTATGATACGCTCAGAAGCACTGACACTTTCCAAGTGGCGTCCCTAAGGCTATTGAGGCTCGCTGCAAAAAAATATATATATATATAAATTTGTTAAGAAATATAACTGTATTATAACAATGAAAATGCGGTGGTATTTCTTAACAATTGTATCTACAACAGTCTTAACTCTAATTTTATATATGTTAAAGCTTCATCTTTAGCTTCTTTTCAACTTTCATCGACTTTTTTGGCAAAATTTGGCAATATTTATATACCTTACAAAATTTCTGTAATAAATTTTGATGCATTTTTGCGACCCTCCTGCAGAAAAAGTTTTGGCAAGTTTTTATCTAAACTAATTCCTTCTATTTGTAAATTTTTTTAAAGTATTATTGACTTTCTCAAGAGTACTGTTCCAAAAAGGAAAATAAGCAAAAAAATTAAATTCTTGATTATTTCTCATTAAAACTTGAGCTGAACTTCTCGTATCAACTTTTTTCGATAGATCACATGATTTTTCTACTGCTTATGTAATTTGCGAAAAGATTTCATTATAAGTCTCACAGCTTGATGTTGCTCACTTCAACTGGTTTCTGCTAGTTTCAGAGCTATCCCATCCCAACTGTTTCTGATAAAATATCACACCTAAGAGTTGGTATGGCAAAGAAGTTGTAAATGATTTTAATTATTTCAAAAAACGTTAGACAAGTTAAATTGCTTCCAAATACACGAATCCCACTCAAGTTAAGCAAATGATTAAACAAGGTGCAAATAAAATCTTTTGATTAATTAGATGGATCCTGGCTTGAACTCCATAATGAACACTTGACATTATTGAAACATATCCAAACCCTCTTCACCAATAATATCTACATTTTTTGAGTGATATCAATAGTCTTTTTCCGGCAAGAGGAAAAAATTCTAAAAAAGGTTCTCTGATCTCTACATTTTTGTTTTGGATAAGAACATATCTAATAATTTGGATTAATTGGTCGAGTGTTGAATCAAACATTATCCCATAATACTTTTCCTATTTTACATCTTCAATAATTTTCTGCCTTACGGTATCCACAATATAGAAATAAATCCCTTTTGTATAGATTTAAAAGCAACATTTTTGTAACTGAATATATTATATTATTACATATTATGTGAAAATAAATATATAAATAAAAAATAAAAGCACAAAATTTTATCTATTATTATTATTCTTTTTGGTTTCATTTTTTTGCCGAATAAATTTGGATAAAAAAATCAAATTTACAAACACACACATTTAAAAGCACCACATTCTCTCTTTTTCTCACTTTCTCTCACTCTCTCTTTAACTTTATATATATATATGAATGGGTTCTTAAACCTTTTAATAACGTGATGTTGTTTTTACCTATTGGTCGCTACACCTCAATTTAAGTTCCTTGGTTACAATAATTGAGTTGTGTTATCATAAACCTTATTCGGCAGGCTACTGACGAGTCTCGTGAGAGACGAAACGTACGTCTGGCCTATGACGGGTAATGGTTTACCAATATATATATATATATATATATATATATATATATATATATATATATATATATATATATATATATATATATATATGTGTGTGTGTGTGTGTGTATATATATATATATATATATATATATATATATATTACTAATTTGTGTCATAGTTAGGCTAACAATATTTTATTGAACCTCTCGTTATTTCATCATTACTACAAGATAATACTGGCTTTAATTTCCTTATTCCAATTATACTTATTATTCCATGCTTATAATATAGTTTAGTAGATTCTTGTTTATTTTATTATTGCTACCTTGATAATAAACTTGTTTACTCTAGGCTCTGAAGATGGCAGTTCAGCCGAAACAACGTTGTTAATTTGATTATGACACATTTAGTAATAAATACGAATTACAACATTGGTTGTCAATGGATGTCATTGGTTTGAGGGGCTGGCGAACGGTAGGTGGGTTTCCTCTCTTCATGCTGACGTCAACTTCTGGTGCTTCTGGTCTATGGTGTGGTTATTGAATCTGTTACCCGTCAACTTAAAAAGACTGGAATAAACTATTACAACCTTACCTCTTAAAATATACTTAAGTCAAAGATTATCATTTATTTTTCTGGATTGAGGTCTTCATATGGTTTGATCGGCTGTGTTTGATTTTGCGAATGTAAAAATAGGAACTAAATAATTATGAAAAAAAACAAAATAAAACAAAAATTAGAAAAAAATCAAAATTACAGGCACATTATGGCACAATCTTGGGAGCTGCAGTGCCGTTAAAATG